GGGGGGGGGTTTGGTCCAGTAGGACAGTTGATCTTCTAGGCAGCAGATGTTGGAAAAGTAGCAACACTCAAAATCTTTTTATTTTGATACTTGCCCTTGATGCACAAATAACTTACGGAAATGTTCCACTTCTACGCATTTTGTTATAATTAACCTAGTTAAAATTGCTTCTGTGGCTTGTACTAGATGGAGCTTATATTGTGCGGTTTTGATTGAATGAATCAGATCTCAGATTCAAGTCCATATTCTTAAGCGGTAGTTACTGAACGGACATAACAAGCCATAACTTTATTACTGAAACCTTTCAACATGGCAAATAAGGTTGAAAGAAGACAACGTCCTTTTGCAAGTGAGCAAGTATTTTAAATGTTGTGCTGATAGTATGAGCTAGCAGTACTTCATGGGCAACTTTCCGGTTATCTTCAGTCAAATTTCGTCCCATTGTCAAGAGCATCTTCCCAATTGTAAAAGCTGTTCAAAGTTCTTATTGAGCAGCCGTCGTGATGATATCGGACGAAAGAACCCCGTCTTTGTGCAAGTCCTGCAGTACGTCCAAGAGTCGCTGCTCAGTGAGAGGATCTCCCAGAGCCACGTCCACAGAACCGATACATAGAAGAAGAGCTAAAAGTTGTGAACGACGATAATCCTCTCCAAGAGCGACTCTACTGTGCCCTAGGTCTCCTTCCACATCTACCCCAAGCCTCATAGCAGAACCAGTGAGTGCCGCCCAGTAGCCGTCCAGAAGGCTTGTGGTGTGACGTCGCCGGAGCTCGGTGGGCAGAGAACTTATCAGCAGAAGAGCGACATCGTTCGTCGGTCGACTGTACGTAACCATTTGCCAGTCCAGCACAGCACAAGAGCATGATACATCGTCGCGGAAGAGCAGATTGTTGCACCAGAAATCTGTGTGCGTTATAAGCGCTAGGGGTTCTTCAGGGGTTAAGAGTGAGGCGATGAGTTCTTTAGTGTTGGGACGCAGTGTAAGAAGACATTCCAAGATGTCTTCTAATCCCGGGCGCCTCTCCAGAAAGCGTGCTAGCTGAGGCAGTCCACGCTCGACTAGTTGCTGATAAGAATCTGTAGCCCTCGCCGTTTGGAACAAGAATGGATACCGCTCCACTAGTGGCCGACCCTCTTTCACCTGGAAATAAGTGGCGTCTAAATCACATTTGACGTCATAAGGCGACAAACTATGCGGACAGTGTTCTTTCAAGATCGGCAAATGCTTGGCTTTTATACTGTAAACATTTTTACGATCTTTCGGCTGCGTCAAAGAGTTGACAGTTACCTTTAGTGCTAGTGATAGGGCGTGTACACGTGCTACAGCTTCAAGCGCTGATTCTGCTTGTCTCAGAGTCAGACCTCGCGAGAAATCTGCCCCCTGGAAGCCTCGGGACTTGAGGTTCTCGAGCACCAATACAGACTCGCTGGGTATGGGACTAGAGTTGGGGCTGTCCTTACCCGGGGTGTAGCGAGCGTGGTAACACCGCGGAATAGGCAGCTCCAGAGGCGGTGTGTCCGGCGGAAGGCTGCGTTTTTGGAACTGCTCCAACTCCGGTACCACCTGGCAACGAAAGTTTGAATACCTCAGCCGTTTAATGGAAAATACTTGTAACCACTGAGACGCAAGCTTAGCATTTTACTTTATGATTTTTGTAACGATCATCTGGCAAAAAAATGCTTGTGCGAAAGCCTAATGAACCGGAAAGGGCGAACCCTCTGTGTTAACGACATGACTGTACCCACAGTTGGCCTGTCTCTTCACCTGACAAGGCAAATAAGTTAGGAAGTCCACGCATAGAGCGGAAAGTATGATGCGTTCGCCAGTATTTGACATTTTACCTTTGTAAATGGCACGAGTGTCGTCAGAGGTGTCTGGAGTCAGTTACCTTTGCATATGCCGGTTGTCTGGATGTTGAAGTTATCATGGAAGACTCACTCATGGATCCGCGGTCGGGCGTGGATTCCCCACGCGGTTATTTCCCAGGTAAACATAGTAATCAATGAAGCCCGGAGATTCCACTCTGGCTTGCAGAAACAGATGAAGGTCTTCACGTATTGTCCGTTGTTGTCCACTTTTAACCTAATTGGAATGCGCTCCAAAGCACGGACGGGATCTCTTACAACTTCAGTACCTTGAGGACGAGGACGAAGATGGTTCTCGAAACGTTGGTGTTTTCGCCATTAAACTACCTTACACGGCTGGTAGCCCGAGAAGAATTAGTTATACTTAGTCACCGTGAAAGCTTCAGATCATACATTCCCAGTATCAAATTTTGTGAAAATCCGTTCATCCGTTCTCGAGTTGTTGCTGCTGTCAGATGCAAATAGTCATTTTTGCAACTTTTGGTTGCGCACGCGCGTAAAAGATGTTTATAGTAGGCGATCCATCTTGAACATGCTTAATCCTGCGTCTTTTTTTTAAGACTTTGTACGTGTATTAATGTGTGTTTATTTAAATGGGGAGGATTAGGTGTGCGGATTGTTAGGTTGTAACTTTTCAGTCGAAGCTCACCGTTGCATACAGTTGTGAAAATCGTACCTAGAATATATTGATTTTGGGATGTTGGGTATGGTTGTATACTTTTTGGTGATAAAAGTTTTGGCTTCACCGGACTCTACGCTGCGAGCAGTGAACGATGAAGAGGGAAGACCCATGTAATTGTTCACAATTGACATGATGGAGGTTAGTCTGCAATAAAAAGGTCAAGCAAGAATGCAACGAATGGTTGGGCGACTAAGTATTTCTGGATCACACTGGAATCTAAGGCGAGACGGCGCAAATGCGACTGGAATTAACAGAATTACAAATGATTTGCAAATGATGGCTGTCTTCTGTATCGTAGCACCGTGTAGTCTGAAAGAAGTTTACCAATTTCTTCGAGGTCCTTGCTGCCTGTGAAACGTGATAAACTTCTACCAGACTACATGACACTACAACCCAGAAGATGCTATCTTCCTACTCATCGCCTTGAGAACCTCAATTCCTAAATAATTTGCAGTTGGTGGTTGCAGAAAAGTGTATTGTACATTATGTAGGCAATAACAAGGTGGCGGAAATACCGTTTCAACTTTTTAGTTAAACGTTGCTTGTGCTAGGTTGAATGCTACTGGATCACACGTTGTTTTCGGATTTCAGTGGCGTGGCAGTAACAGACAATTTTACGTATCCAGGAACCTTTTGCTTGCCATATTATGGCGCTAGATATGCATGCAGAAGAAGTGTGTTTATTCTTGACAGTAATAGTTGTTTCCTGTGCTTATGCACGTTTAGACGTATGAAGGCTGCCTCTCGTTTGGTTCCTTTGCTCCCCATAACCTAGTTTGAAACCATTTTTTCATATTGTACTTGTGACAAAAGAATACCGGAATTGATTTTGTTTGCAATTCGTGTTTTTCTCACTGTTCATCCGTGAAGGTCGCTTGTCTGCTGTTAACGAAGCTGAGTACAGTGTGCAAACCCAGATTGAATCTAAATTATAACACTGAAATTAATTAGGATGCTTTTCATCTATGAACTTCTTTGTTGCCTCTTTTTATTTTACGTATCTGTTTGAGTTATATTTAACAGATGTGAGTGTACCATAGTAATTTCAGATTATGCAGTATCTTATATCGATTATCGGTAGGGTAGATAGTGGTTAACTTTCATTAAATATATGTGTACATCTGTATAATTTACCCTCTTAAAATCTAATATTTTTAAAGAAAAGCATGTATTGAGTAACATAAAAAGAAAACCATTTATGTAAAGGAACTGGCGGGATCAGAACTCCGCCCCCAAAGTGGAAAAGGTGAATTTTACTGACAACATTTAATGAGAAAATACGTCTTTATGAATGGATAAATATTTATATCAACGGCATAATTTATTTGTCTTTGTAACAACAATTAATTTTCCCTTTATTGGTTTTTGAAAAGACGTCCCCGAACGAAACCGTACATGCACTACTGATATAGTAAGTGTAAGTGTAAAAAGACCCATCATTACCAAAAGTTTATCGAGTCACCATGGGTTCGTTAGGTGCAGCGAGCACAAGAATTTTGCATCCGTTGTATGTATCCTCGTGAATCTCGCCACATCAGAGTCTGTGAGAAATGAATGTGTTAGAGTTTGAATCTCGTTAAGGGGCTGTATTGAGACTTTTTCAAAAGTGCTGCGACTTTATCGTAAAAGAGCCATATTCAAGTTTAATTATTTGTATATCGTGATAAGGTAAGTCAGTGCCAGTTACTGAACGCAGTATAACCCGATAAGTAACATTTGATTAAGATAATTGGGTGTTTGGACCTTTGGACCTTGTCCATCGTCTGATGTTACCCAGTATCAAATTTTGTGAAAATCCGTTCATCCGTTCTCGAGTTGTTGCTGCTGTCAGATGCAAATAGTCATTTTTGCAACTTTTGGTTGCGCACGCGCGTAAAAGATGTTTATAGTAGGCGATCCATCTTGAACATGCTTAATCCTGCGTCTTTTTTTTAAGACTTTGTACGTGTATTAATGTGTGTTTATTTAAATGGGGAGGATTAGGTGTGCGGATTGTTAGGTTGTAACTTTTCAGTCGAAGCTCACCGTTGCATACAGTTGTGAAAATCGTACCTAGAATATATTGATTTTGGGATGTTGGGTATGGTTGTATACTTTTTGGTGATAAAAGTTTTGGCTTCACCGGACTCTACGCTGCGAGCAGTGAACGATGAAGAGGGAAGACCCATGTAATTGTTCACAATTGACATGATGGAGGTTAGTCTGCAATAAAAAGGTCAAGCAAGAATGCAACGAATGGTTGGGCGACTAAGTATTTCTGGATCACACTGGAATCTAAGGCGAGACGGCGCAAATGCGACTGGAATTAACAGAATTACAAATGATTTGCAAATGATGGCTGTCTTCTGTATCGTAGCACCGTGTAGTCTGAAAGAAGTTTACCAATTTCTTCGAGGTCCTTGCTGCCTGTGAAACGTGATAAACTTCTACCAGACTACATGACACTACAACCCAGAAGATGCTATCTTCCTACTCATCGCCTTGAGAACCTCAATTCCTAAATAATTTGCAGTTGGTGGTTGCAGAAAAGTGTATTGTACATTATGTAGGCAATAACAAGGTGGCGGAAATACCGTTTCAACTTTTTAGTTAAACGTTGCTTGTGCTAGGTTGAATGCTACTGGATCACACGTTGTTTTCGGATTTCAGTGGCGTGGCAGTAACAGACAATTTTACGTATCCAGGAACCTTTTGCTTGCCATATTATGGCGCTAGATATGCATGCAGAAGAAGTGTGTTTATTCTTGACAGTAATAGTTGTTTCCTGTGCTTATGCACGTTTAGACGTATGAAGGCTGCCTCTCGTTTGGTTCCTTTGCTCCCCATAACCTAGTTTGAAACCATTTTTTCATATTGTACTTGTGACAAAAGAATACCGGAATTGATTTTGTTTGCAATTCGTGTTTTTCTCACTGTTCATCCGTGAAGGTCGCTTGTCTGCTGTTAACGAAGCTGAGTACAGTGTGCAAACCCAGATTGAATCTAAATTATAACACTGAAATTAATTAGGATGCTTTTCATCTATGAACTTCTTTGTTGCCTCTTTTTATTTTACGTATCTGTTTGAGTTATATTTAACAGATGTGAGTGTACCATAGTAATTTCAGATTATGCAGTATCTTATATCGATTATCGGTAGGGTAGATAGTGGTTAACTTTCATTAAATATATGTGTACATCTGTATAATTTACCCTCTTAAAATCTAATATTTTTAAAGAAAAGCATGTATTGAGTAACATAAAAAGAAAACCATTTATGTAAAGGAACTGGCGGGATCAGAACTCCGCCCCCAAAGTGGAAAAGGTGAATTTTACTGACAACATTTAATGAGAAAATACGTCTTTATGAATGGATAAATATTTATATCAACGGCATAATTTATTTGTCTTTGTAACAACAATTAATTTTCCCTTTATTGGTTTTTGAAAAGACGTCCCCGAACGAAACCGTACATGCACTACTGATATAGTAAGTGTAAGTGTAAAAAGACCCATCATTACCAAAAGTTTATCGAGTCACCATGGGTTCGTTAGGTGCAGCGAGCACAAGAATTTTGCATCCGTTGTATGTATCCTCGTGAATCTCGCCACATCAGAGTCTGTGAGAAATGAATGTGTTAGAGTTTGAATCTCGTTAAGGGGCTGTATTGAGACTTTTTCAAAAGTGCTGCGACTTTATCGTAAAAGAGCCATATTCAAGTTTAATTATTTGTATATCGTGATAAGGTAAGTCAGTGCCAGTTACTGAACGCAGTATAACCCGATAAGTAACATTTGATTAAGATAATTGGGTGTTTGGACCTTTGGACCTTGTCCATCGTCTGATGTTACATAATTAAACAACGTTTCGAGGATTGGATCTGGCCTCGTCTTCGGGTGTGTTGAAGGGGAACGGCACCTACTCTGAGGGGTCTGTTAGAATGAGTTAATCTCAGTCATGTGATTAATTAATTTCCAGTTACCACGGATATAATGGAGTATCTTATTTATAATTTAAATACGGTTCGTATCCACAATTGCTGAGTGAAGCTGTAATCAGAAATAGGCCCCATGACGTTTGTGAACATTTTCTTTGATATGATTTTTAATTGTTAATCAGCGTTTTGGCGCCGTGTAGACTCGTAGGTAGATACCAACGTTTCGGATAAACATATTGTCTCCATCTTCGGGGCTTTTTTTCAAAAACGTTGGTGTCTGCGTGTGTTTGTGAGACGAAAAAGGCACAAATGAGTTGACATGCACTGATCTTACAAGATCGAGACGCTTACCACCTTCTAGCACTCGCAGCATTGCTCACCTGGGTGTAGAACTTGATCTCACGGAGATCAAACTGTGCCTCGGTGACGAAGAATCTGCTGAAAGGGTCGTGCGGCAACAGCTTGACGATCAGACTGAGAATTCGTGGGTCTGGAGTCCCTGGAGAGACCCGATATTGGACCCTCACTGCCAGAATGTCGCTCAGAACGCATTCCCCTGCGTCGCAACCAGGTCCTACTGAGAATTCGCCGATGTTTACACAGAGTTCTTCACCATTTTCCTCGTCATTGCCGCCGCCACAGTCTCCAACACCGTGATGGAGTTCTTGCTGATGGTACGATACTAATATCGCCTCTAACCATTCGCTCGTCACTTGGGACTCCTCGCCGGAACTCTCATCTTCACTGTCCGACATCTTTCTTGCTTCGATTATTTAGCCTGATGTACGGTTTTGAAATAATACATTATGGTGGAACAAGCCTTTCTACGTTGACACTATGCAACCAGTTTATTTTACGTGTGCTAAATTATGTGCAGTATAATTCGATGTTTACGCCGTTTTAAATACCTCGTTTAGCGAATATTTAAATTTTGAACTGCACGTGGACAGTGTGGTTTATAGCGATGAATAATTTATTCTGCCAAATAAGATTTTGAAGAGAGACATTAAAACAATACAATTTACGGGTCTCCCGATATTGATTCTCTAAAACAAATTAATTTCACTGTATATTCATTTGACATCAACAATTAAAATTTACGCAGTAAATATTCATGTCTAGTTTCTGGACAATTGCGTAGTTACCATCGATAGTCAGATTGCCTGTGGCCGGAAATGAGATGCGGCGTGAAGTTTGTCAAGGTGAACAGATAATATCTTTTGTTCGTGAAATTTTAACCTGTCGCTGTTGTTCCGCCGACGGCTGCTGGGTTGTGACTGAGTCTTGAGATGAAAGTGGTATTAGGACATACCCGCCGTGTCTAAAGGCCCCGCTACCTCTCTGTATGAACTGTCTCGTAGCGCGCCAGCCCAACCAACTCCCTTCCTGGGGAATGACTTTAAATCAATAGCTGCGCGACCCCTGCCTGATCCAGACTCTCCCTACATATTCCACCAGGCTCATCCACTTCGTATTGGGCGGTTCAATTACGAGTCTCCCTCCCAGTTGAATAGAAGCTGCAGCTGTGACTACGTTTGGCGATGTAGAAATTCAAATATGACGAAATCTTCAATCCTTAAGATGGAGGCAGTGTGTTCTGAAACGTCGGCATACAGTCAAAATACGTGGCGCACCATCCCAGAAGGCCACCATTTACAAAAAATATTATGGATTTTTGACAATAGGAAATAATGTGACTCCACTCTTTGATCTTACACACTGTAGACCAGCTATTCTGAAACATTTTTGTTCGCGACCCAGCAGTATTCTTCTGCCTGAAAACCAATAGTTTGTCAGTTAGGGGCAAATTAGAAACAACGTTTTTATAAATATGCTAGCATTATGTTTTATTAATTGTGTGAATAGAGGCACATTTACAAGTACAAAAATAAAGTGAAAAATTCGTCGGCAACATTTACTTGACTAAATTAACAATAATATAAAATGTTTATGTTTTGACTTTGACGCGGCCCATCAGAAAGTCCTCGCGACCCAAGGTTTGCGAACCCCTGATATAGCCAAAATACTGTTTTTTCCAAGGGAACTAGGTTCCGCCAGTCAGCAGTCTGTAAAGTCTATGTCGAAAGGTTCAAACAAGAACATCGAATAGGCTGGAATCATCTGAAGATCTCATTGTACATTTTTACTAAGTCATACTTTACAAATGAACTGAGAGGGACCACCACATCCTGTCCCCATATTCTTTGGAGTAAGTTGATAGGTCACATTTTGACCTGCATGCATCAACCACATTCACTCAATAAAATCTTCTCGGACAATCAGCTATCAAATGCAAGATGCACCCCAGTTTCAGAAATTTTAAATTGTGAGAAAAAGTGTCTTAAAATTAAAGAAATATGGTACTTCCCTTATGCTCATAAATCATGCTGCTGTGCATATGCCAGTACATGAATTCAGTTGGTATTGAATAATGGTGGAGCCTACCATGATTCCTTGTCTTTTTATTGACAGTACTAGATTGTTGGGCTTAAATATGTAATTTTTGAAGTTATTTGATTATTTATTTTATATTTCTGCATTATGTAATGACATTTGTAATATATTTGATTATATAGTGTCAAGGGATAGAATGATTTAATAGTTCTCCATGAGTGTTTCCATGTGGATGTTGAAGTAAAGGTATGACAGAACATGACTACAAATTTGTTGCTGGCTGTCTTTCACTTATTCTTCAGTTACCTGACTTAAGCTTTTATTGCAGGTACTTGTTTCACCAGTGCTGGCTGGATTGGCTGTAGGAATTGGTGTCCCTATCCTCCTGTTCTACGTCTATGGAGTTGTACCAGTGTCTCTTTGTCGGTCAGGTGGTTGTGGAGTCTCTACATCAGGTGCAGGAGTCCGCTTTGATTTTGATGATGAAAATGATTTGCTAGGGGTCTTAGGTGCTAGAAATACTGGTAAGATTTATTTTAATATGTATTGCACATTGAAACAAGAATATTAGAAGTGATAATTTTAATTTATGGTTTTGTAATCCCACTTGTTCTTTATATGCTGTTTAATTTTCTGCCCATAAGATTTTTATTCCATAACTAGTCATTTTCATCATAAGTTTTCTTCCACTTTACACTCCCATATTCTTGTTGCTCTTTTTATGACTAAAAAGGAAGTCTTCTTCTGTTGTAACATAATCACTTCAGTATGCTACTTATCATGAATTGTATTATAAACTATCTTCTTTCAATTAGATGCAGTATCTATGGATGCAGTGAGTCATCGTGGAGGAAACCCATCCATTGGAGAGGTCTCCTTGTCCCTAGGCAGCGGGAGCCAATTGGAGAGACTTGGACGAGAGAATGATAGGGAATCGGCAAGCAATGTTGCACTTGCTGGAGCAAGTATTGCTGGAAGCATTGCATCAAGTTTTCTTCCTGGAGGACAGAGGTTAGCATAATTTAATAGATAACTATATGTAGTTATTTTCTGTTATTGTTGTTACAAGTTTGGGGGGAGACTTTCTCTGGAACCGTGGCTACTAATGGACCCATTGTCAGCCTCTAGATGTGTTTAATCAAGCACCATGCTATGAAGACATCTGGTGGTATGGAGATGAGTAGGCAGCTTCACACTCTAGCCACTTTCCTGTGGGGGAAAGAATCCCAGGTACCCATTGGAGTTTTAATGAAGAGAGTTTAGAGCAGTGGTCCCCACCCTTTTTGTGCCTATGGGCACATTTGAGACTTTATGAGATCATGGCGGGCACCAACCAATTAACAAAGCCAAATTTTCTTTTCTCTGGACAAATAAGATATGGACACCAAATAATACTCAAAACAACACGACGTTTAATGATACAAGAAACCACGCAATCAAAAATACGTAGTTTTATAAGTAAAATTATTATTACTCAAGTGGGAAGTTAGTGCGATGTTTGGCGCTGCATTTCATCAGCCAATTTTTCAAATTTGGGAGTGTAGGATGATGTTGCTGCTCGCAAACAATCGTCAAGATGGGCATTAGTAAGGTCAGATCTGTGCTTTGATTTTATAATGTTCGTGGTTGAACAGCCTTCAATATTCAGTATAACCTCTTTCCATAACAACACGTGCACCCAAAAAAAGGCTTGGCAGGCGCCATGGCGCACGCAGGCACCGCGTTGAGGACCACTGGTTTAGTGTATGGAATCTAAAGTTATTTGTTAAGAAATATTAATATACAGTTATTAAGTGTGGAATGTGTTTAAGTGGTTTTATGAATAGTGAAACTGTGTTTGTTTCAAAATATATGTTGTTTTTGTAATCTGTTCCTTTTGCATAGTTGAGATATAATAATTACTTTAGCTTACATTCCTTCTATTTAGGAAATATTTTTTGTGATTTCAAATGAGAATTTAGCTACATTGGGATGGGCCTAGTAAAGTAAAGAAAGTGACAGTTTCTCAGAAAAAGAAATCTCAGACGGGGGTTAATTTTTTTCTATTTTTTATTTTGTGGTGTTATGGAACAATAATTTGCAAGTACTGACATTTAGTCACTATTGATGTAAGACAATTTAAACTGTTGTTTTTTTGTTTTTGTTTTGTTTTGAACATATCAGTTGTGGTCCTCTGGGTAGTGACATCTTGTAGTCTTGCAAGTGGTTGCCAGTATTTCAGAAGAATGTTGGTAACCAACTACAACATTTCTGAGGGTCACTGTTAACTACCCACAAAATTTCCGAGGAACATTGTCAACCACTTGTAAGACTACATAATGTAAAACCCAGAAGACCACAACTGGCGACCTCAAATTGTTGTTGGTTTTGAATTTTGTCAAAAAAAATGATTTACCTTCTGAAAGTAGTAATTTTCATTGGCAAGTTTGTTTTCATCATGCTTTCATGTTGTTTATGACGCAGGCTAGAAGTACAAGCTGATGTGGCCTCATCACAGAGATTTAGCATGAGCAGTGAAACTGCTTCGGCAGCAACCAGCTTATCTGAAAAATCTGTGTCAGCTTCAATAGCTGATGATGGAGCAGCTTCAACACGTGCACTTGCTGGATCAGTTCTAAACTTCAAAATGGATTCCAGTTCCTTGTCAGGCTTCCGAGGAACTAGTGTTGATGCATGCACACCAGTTGAGATACACACTGATTCGGCAAGCCAGCGCAGTGATGAAGTTGCTGGGCCGGCATCACTTAGTTCATTAGAAGAACTTACGTCAGGAATGATGCGACGTACACGAAGGAAACCACCCCTGGATCGACAGGTACCCTTTACTGAAATGCTCATGAAAGATATGCTGCTTTTTTTAACCTTATGCAAGAAAGATGATGTAATCCAATAGTACTTACAGTTTATGTTCCTGAATTTTGTACATTTTGAGCTTGTATGTCCCAGGACCAGCATTCCATATTTTGGAATTCTTTGCTTAAAGCAGGTATGTTTTCGGGGATAAGACCTCCAAAGTGGATGTTAGTGTAACTAAATAAAATGGTGTAATTTATAATTATTAAAAAGTTCAAAATATAAAGTTAGAATTTCAAAACCAATATTAAGCATTTTTAAAATATTGATCTTGAACTACACTGGTATAAGAATTAACATATTAAATATGAAATTTTAGATTAGCATGTCTATATTGCACATATTACTGCTTAAGCAGAAATATGCAATTGATATTAAAAACTACTTCTTCTTCTTCTTTCTTGTGAGATTTGCGTCTAAGTCAATTTCATTATAAAATACCACCTGCTTGGCTAATATTCAGACATCTCATGCTACATAAGTTTTTATTTTCACTATCTATGTTCTATTTATGTTGAACCGTGTAATCTTGAATTATTGATTTCTTAATTTTTCAGTCCAAAAATAAGGGTGCATGTTACACGTGCGTGGATGTTTTATATGAGCACATACAGTAACTTCCATATTGGTACAGGAACTTATTTTCACACTACTGTGCATGAAATTTAGTTTCATATCTGGATAACAGGTTTATATGTTTCAATAAAACTCTTTCTTAAGCTATGGACTCATTGTAGTATACTGAGATATTTCAGTTTGGAAGTTTACATATTGAGCATTATTTAATATTCACCATAGAATTTTTTTTCTCATTATTTTGCACTGTTATTATTCTGATCAATAATTAAGTCATTTAGATAATGTTACATAATAATAAGTAATTTTCAAACCTTTTCAGGGAAGTGAAAGCAGTAGTTGGGCTGCTGGTGGTGAAGATGGTGGCTCTGAGAGGGTACGGTTTGATGATCATGTAAGCTTTATCGCTCCTCACTCATATGAAGCGTCACACAGCAGTCAGTGTGATAAAGAAAGCAGTATTGGTGGACGTGGAAGATGGTGGAGTACTGAAACTAGGTGCCATCGAGAACTACCAGGAGAGGAGCATGTTGGAGGCCTTGCAGACATGAAGAGAATAACAGCTGTTCGACAAGAGTTGAGAAACGCTGAAGAAACTGTGGGATCGAAGGCAGTGGATGAGTGTATTGTGTTGGATGGAGATGATGCTGATGCTGCTGATTATTATGATGGAAATTATGATGATTTTACTGTCACTTCTACCAACACTGCAGCAGCTACTGCTGCTATTCCAGCCACCACTACTTCAACTGTCACAGTCACTGCCTGCTACCATACTGCTTCAAAGTCGGACATTTCTGCAGAAACTGTCAACAAAGACAAATTGCATGGAACATCTGCTGCCATTAGTGGATGTAACAAATCCACATCAGCTGCTACTCTAAGGAATGTGTTCTTCCATGCCCCACCAGCTGAAAGTAAAAGACTCCCAAAGTTACGTAAAGCACAGGAATCTGTGGGATCAGCTGTAGATGGAGAACAGCACATCTCTTCTCGGCAAACTCTTGCATTGCCAGTAATACCAGAACCTTCCATTGACCAGCCACACTCAAGCCCACCACGTGACATGCCCGTCAAAATCGAAGTTCCCATCGAATCTGATTAAGTGTATAGAACAGTGCTTTGAGGTTATATAAGACTGAATTGATTCCATGAACCAAATTTTGGTGATCCTCTACCATTTTTACTAAAAACAGTTTAACCATTTGATCCTCCTAACTTTTATAAGTTATCTCTCTCCCCCCCCTCCACATCCCCCCTCCTGGTCAGGCTTAAGAGGAATGTTTATGGCTATAGTCCTGTGTTTGTGTACCCTTCCGTTCTTCCTAATGTATGAGAATAAGTGTATGTATTTTTTATATTGGAGTGCTAATATTTGTGTGTCATATGACTGACATCATAAGGGGTTATTTTTATTTTTGCATTGAAGTATTACATTATTGGTATTGCCTAAAATAGTTGTAAGTGTAAAAGTATAGGAAACCTAAAAATTATTTTTACAGTTTTGAAGTATAAGTTATTCATCCAGTTATGGTTTAATTTTCATGGGGGTGCCATTGTTTGTTTGTTTTTTGTTTCTTGTGGTAAAACATTTTACATTCAGGAACAGAACTACTGAAATTGCATTTTTATAATTAGTTAGAATAATTTAGTGAAGGTGTTGAATTTCCAGCACTGGCTTGTACTATAGAAATCTGTAGTTATAATTTGATTTAATATTGGAAGTTCTAAGTGGCACAAACTTTTTTTTTGGATGCCTTTGTTGTGGTGCATACTGGGAATCTTTTGCAATTTATTTGTCAATTGCCATTATTAAATTATTTCTCATTTAATTGTCTTGTAATGACAGTTGAGATTTGATATGTAGTTATATATCGCATCTTTCATAACAATTGTGCCGACTTCAAAATGCTTGCATTATCTATCCCTTGTACTTACGTTTCTCAATACTGTGCAGTAGTTCTTATAGAAGATAATATGCCGTACATGATACATATGAAAGTAAACATTTATGGCCCAAACCATCTGCAACACATATGATGTATATCTATATGTGAACCTTGTATGTCTTGTCAACCATTGAAAAGATTTCAAGGATTCCTTTATTTCCTAATTCCAAAATCTGAAACTAGAATATTGTCATGTTTGATGGAGTAGTAGAAATCATTATTAACCTAGTGAATGAATGCTCATTTCATTACAACTGTTTTTCTTTTAAAATATACTTGGTCTTGCTGCTAGTTTCATTAACATAGAAAGAGAATCGTAAAGTGATAAGCAGTAATAGACGGATTGATTTATCAGTCTTTACTGTGATATGTTGCTTAAAAGATGGCCTCCATATATACCATTCAACTGTGTTCCTGAACAGTTCTGTTTATGTTAAATGTATAATGCATGCATTATCATGCCTTATTACTGTGTTTAAGAAAACAGCGAATAATGTTTGTTCAATTACTTTTAAGTGAAGAAAGAAATGTCCAATTTGTTATTTTTAAGTTAAAAAGTAATAAATTATCAATGTGGTGTTTGAAACAATACATGATGTACATCCTTTCCATATTATAAAGTAATATAGCACAAACTAAGGAACAAAAAGGAAATGTTTGAACAAATTGCATGATTAAATAATCTGAACACTAAATGCTGGTCTGCCGGAAGAGCCAGCAAGCAGCAAAGTATTGCAATTTTATGTACAGATATGCCAGAATAATTATTTGTGCTGTATTGTGAGGTGGGGGAGGGTGAAAGCTCAGCAATAAATTCATTCACTCAGGACCAAAATCTTGCTATTGTGATCTGGTAGTTCTGTACTATAGAGAATTAAAATTTTAAACATAAGTAATTTGTACACAACATGAACTGTAAATCATCTGCTTCATGTGGCTGTGCTAAGTAGAAAAGTCAGGTGTCTAATTCAAAAAATTCTAAACCAGGTAAGTCTTTTTCTTTTCCCTTTTTATTTTGAAATTATAGTCTACTTGTATAAAATTACTGATGTTCTATTATTTTTAATAACCATCAGATACAACATCTAAGATAATTACATTTATTCTCTGCTTTTGAGATATCCTATATTTTGTTATATCCACAACTATCAATGTCCCTGTGCCCAACATTTAGACTAATACTCTAAATTTCTTGGCCTATAAACTGACAATAACTTAAACCCGAAAATACATATTCAATACATTATCCCTAAACTAGGCTCAGAATACTTTGCTGTCACACCACTCTTGAAAACAAAAACTTTGTCACCAGCACAGAAAATTACACCATACCTAAAATTAGCATGGAAATATGCAAAATAAATACTCCTTATAACATGTGGACTCGTAACATCTCTAAGGGATTTTATCATATGGCAAAATTTACTTAGCTTGGAGCTTAATGACTATATGTACATCACATTTCATGTTTTCACCAATATGTATGCCTAGAAATTTTATTTCTGGTTCATAGACAATAGCCATATTGTAGAATCTGACTTTAGGTTTCATTGGAACTTTTTTTGTGTATAAAACGACATTGCTATTGTTTTCTCAGTATTTATAATAAGACCATTTGCGTAAAATCATGAATGCAGATCGTTCATCACCGTATTTATTTTGTGTCGGAAGATCTGTCCATTCTCTGTGGTTACAAAAGTGTTTGTGTCATCTGCAAATAAAACTATCCTTGATTCTTGGTTATTTATTAGAAAGTCGTTTATGTAAAATAAACGTAATATCGGCCTAAGCATTTAACCCTGTGGCACACCGTGTTTCATTTCTCTAAAAGCTGAAACATGTTTTCCTTGATTTGCATGTTTATTACAATTATAGCGCACACCACGAGTTCGCAATGCCTCCTACTCCATAAGCATTTAATTTGGTTAATAAAATTTCGTGATTTATAAAATCATAGGCTTTGTTAAATCACAAGAAATTAAAATCTGATTTGCTTTTTCTAAGTAGTCTCATAAATACTGTCAAGAAGGGAGTGTATTGCTGTCTTCGTTGACCAATTTTTTTCCAAATCCATTTTGAGCTTCTGTTAAATTATTTCTTGTTAAGGATAACCTAATCTATTGTACATTAGCTTTTCTAACATTTTTTTGAACGCTCACAAAAGGGATATTGGTCTATAATTTTGTATGTCTCTCTTATCCCGTTATTTATAGTGATTTTACTTTTTACACGTGAAGTGGATACGCTTTCTTGTGTAGTTCCCTGTAAATTACGGTAGTAATTATGTTATTTATATTTGAATTAGAAACAAATATTGAATTGTATTCTATTCTCTTCTTATGCTACGACATGCTCTACGTTCTTAGCTTAGGCCTATGAAGGATCTATGGTATGTAAAAAATTCTATTCTATTCTAACCATCACAACTTACATGGGTTGTGACGCATGTAGCAATTCACAGCTGTTTCCAGCTTAGCACCTCCTATGAAGTTGATTCAAAACTGAACGCACTTCATGTCGTAAAATTGTTGACTGTTGTAAACAATGGCTGCTGTTCTGAGAGCGAAGAAGTGTTTCGCTTTTGTAGTACGATATTCTGATCGCGAATCTTCACCTTGAAGTGACAACTTATAAAGTGAACGCAGAAGATCATGGTGGGTATGAGGAATAGAGAATATGTGATAAGGGAGTTGTTTTGATTGTAAATTTGCTGTTGAATGTATGGTGAGGCGCCTAGGTATCGTGTGAGGAAATGTCATGAAGCACGCAGAAGCAGACGAACAGAATGTAAATTTATAAATGACAGTAATCCAGTAATTTCTTCCATTTCATCAGGTACCCTGAGTAAGTCCAGCATTTTAGTAAGTAATTTTTTAGTACCTGTTCATGACAAGTTCAGAACTAGGAAGTAGATGTCGAACAAATATATTCTGTGGTCTAATTTTATGCAACGCTGTTTGCCAACATTCACTTACTCATTTGTAAGATGCCGGTTTAAGTGATGCCATTATTTTTACACTAACTGTTGTCCTGTAAATGTGTGTGTGCCAGAAAGTTCATGATTAAATGTTTTCTTAATTTAAAATACTACCTTAGATGCCAAAATATCCCAAATTCTTTATATTTCTAAATTCTCTGTAATTATGATATTCTGTTTGCCATTTAAAAATCAGTTAGTAGTTCTACAGTATCATGTTTTAATTTTGACTTGTTAGCATCCTACCTTGTTTACCTGGTTAGTTCATTCTTCTTTTAATTTAAGTAGGTTTTGATGTTTTCATGGCGGTGAGTCTGACTACATGGCACAACAACCCAGAAGACAGCCATCATCTTTTAATTTATTTACACATAAGAGATAACTGTGGAAAGAAATTGTGTTGTGTTTATATAAATTTAACATTTGGAATTTACCTACTAACTGTGAAATTGGCCAGACAGCATTATCATTTCTCAGGAGCATTCATACTTATTTTTAATTTTAAAACTTGTGGAGGACTGAAAATTATAGCTTTCTGTATTGTCTGTCACCATAACAATTCTGTTGTTTTTATTGCAGTCAGGTAATCAGTTTAATGGTACTCTTCCCTCAATTAATATTGTGGGAAGTGCTGGTGAATCACAAGAAAGTGGAGGTTGTTCTGGTGTTGGCCAGAGTTCTGGAGGTGATGATGTTGATGGAGAAGAGCAAGAAGAATCTTCTTCTTCACATGTGGTTTGTGGAATTTAAATATTAATTTGCAAATTTACAGTACATAGCATTTAATTTTACTGCTGTTCATGATATTGGTCACTGAAGTATAAATAAGGGGTTTATGTTTGACCTTTAGCATACATTGAGGGCTGTTTCATGTCTACCTGTTCAGGTTGCATTAGCTAGTTAGACGACTGTAAACCATCAGCAATTGAAAGTTGAAGTAGTTTGTACATCAGGTATAAGTAAACCTGTATTGAAGTTCTGTGATAATTTATTGCAGTTTATTTTTAAATTTGTGACTTAATTTTTTTTATTTTTCATCGTTCGTATATTCTAATAGATTCTATAGATGAAGAATTTTGGTGGTTTGTTTTGTTTCCTGTCTTGTCTTGGACAACTCACTTCAGTTGAGTGAACTTTGTTCTCTGTCATGTTTCCACTCATAAGTTATGAACAAGTGGTTCAGTGGACATTCAAGTACATATTCGTTTCTTGTTTTTGCCTTCTCTAGCTTATTTGACAGATAACTATGAAATTATTTGTGGGTTTAAATATATGGATTAAGTTATGAGTCTTTCATAAGAAGTAATTATAATTCCAACATATTAATTGCCAGTACAACATGTCACTTGTACACTTAAGATATGTCTGTTCAGTTAATTCAGTTAAAGTGTAATATCCCTATTGAAACTTTTAAGTATACACTTATTAGAAGAATCCTTCCAGTCCTTCAGTTTCCAAAAGAATTCTTAAGATTGCCTCAACAGTATATTTGTTCTCTGGTAGCATGAATAAAATAATGACCCGTGTGTTCCCAATATATTTTAAAATTATTTTCATCATTTACTGTTACCTTATTCCTGAATTCAGTTGTGTTACACAAGTTCCATAACGAGCAGTTTATTTAATACTGTATGTAGAGCATTTTGCATATGCATATGCGTTTTTATTATATCCTTCCTTACCTGTGTCTATCTAGGACAAAATTACATGAGACTAAAAGTGTACAGTGTCCATAAATTAGCAGACAATTTGAAAAACTTAACAAATACTTATGTATGAAATTTTGTAACCATATGTGAAAAAAAGCTTGAATGTTGTTGGACTGTTCTGTAGTACATTAGTTTTTGTTTGTGTTATAAATTAATAATTACATGTCTTTCAAATCATCTGCTAATTTATGGACATCATGTGTTAATAACTGATATATTTTACTGACATAACTGTGTTTGTAATTTTATTGATGGGAAAAGTTGAATGTTGAAGATGCTTTGACCACATTTCGACAACAGTGGCAGCATAAGCTTGAAACATCGCCATGGCATGAGTTGAAAAGTGTTTCATCTTGCAACACCATAGTGAATGGTGGAGTAGAGGAGAGTGACTTGGGCATTGAGAATGAAGTAAGTTAGTGATCATTTGTGTGAAAATATGTTTTATAATAATTTAAATTCTTAAAATTAAGTAGATTTATCTGGTAAATGTGTGCTCTGATAACTGGGATACTGGGAACGACCCGTTCTTCAAGTGCCTGAGCACTGCGGGTCCCAACTTTTTTGTTGGCTTGATCTATAGACATTCGATAGGACTCCTTGGACGAGGGTTCGGCCCGTTGCAAGGCGTCTGCCTCTACACAGGACAACACAACACAGAAAAACGCGGACAAACATCCATGGCTTGAGTGGGATTCGAACCCACGGTCCCAGCGACCAAGTGGCACAAGGCCAACGCCTCAGACTGCGCGGCCACTCAGATAAAATTATTTTAAAATAAAATATTTTGCTTATATTTCCGAAACGTGAACTATGACAGAACTTTATAATCCCATGTAGGTTGATATTAAAAAAATTATAGTGTTCTATCAAAGCCCATTCCTTCTATGTGTATACTGATTAGGAAAAACAATGCTGTCCATGTGCTTAATTAAGCATCATATCATGAAGACATATGAGGGAGTGGAGATGTAACTATACACTTTCTTCATCTTGGTACTAAGTTGAGGTAAGTGGTCAGCTTTATGGCCTAATTGTTAAAATAGACAGTTATATTACATTTTATTTAAGTTATGTATATGTTTGGTATGTTTCTTGAATAACCCCTTGTCTCAATCTTTAAATTCTCAAAACATATGTATTATTAATGGGGTATCACATTAATACCAGAAAATAGTTTTGTACTGATTTAATGAAGAACAACTATATTATTCTTATTTAAATCACTTTTGTTGATGTTGATGTCGATGTCACTAGCATATGTATTCCATCAGCATAGCATTGGTAGAACAACATTTGCATAATTTTTCCAGCAGATATTGCAAAATGAAATTTATTTATCTTAGAGGACCTGAGATGTTACCAAGCCAGACTGTTGTGTTTACTCCCATATTCAAAATGTTGAACCGAGGTTTCATTACTGGTTCCATTTATCGTTGCAGGCCAAAAGGTTATTTGTGAAAGGTGTTGAAAATGAGCAAAGTGGAAAGCTATATGAAGCTATACAGTTTTATCGCAGAGCCGTGCAGTTGGTACCTGATATTGAATTTCGTCTTTATGACACAAGCAAGTTGAAGCCAAGAGAGAGACGGGAAATTGGAAACAGTGAAGGTAAAAAAAAAGGGGGGGGGTGTTTGAAACTATATTTACAGGGATCAGGTTAGTCTCACACAAGCATGTTAAATTTCTGATAAATGCCTCAGTTGTAATCCATTTTTGTTTTTAATTGTTACCTGTGCTCATTGCGCAGTTTGTCACAGTAATCTTGTTATAACCAGTCAGTGCATTGTTTATATCTATAATTTTATTTTATACTATTTTGCTTTAAGCTTAGAATGTATTGACCCTTTAATGCCCTGTGGTAACTATATTTTCCACCTGCTTTAAGAGTATGTAATTCTGAATTTTTCTTGCAGAGTATATTTATGGGTTTTGTTTGATTCTAAGAGTAAACTGTGATAGCTTCCTTATTTTATGTAAAATATCCATATTCAGTGTACTGTGAGACTGGGTAGGTGGATTTTGTTATGCGATTAGTAGATTTAAGTTGAATTTTTTAACCCCTAATTGCACTACTAATAACTCTATATTCAGTATATGCATTGTACTGTGTAGAAATTTATATTATAGTGTTTCATCCTGTATCTGCTCACATTAAGTAATTAGCGCATTATTAGTGCAGGTTCATTATTATGTATCCGTGAAAATGAATAAAAAACATAGCAGTTATACTTTCTTTCCATTCTTTAATCAGATACATTTTGAGTATTTTTAAACTATTGGCTGTGCATAACCAGATAATTCAGAAGTTAATCCTGATCAAGAAGTGAACTGTGGATCGGATGATGATGATGGTGGTGGTGGTGATGAAGAAGAAGAAGATACAGATCTACTGTCATGCTTGCAGCGATTGTTTAGCCATTCTATGTGTGTTTGCACACCACATCATGAACAGAAGGTAAGCTGTACAACTGCTTAAATATGCCTTACGGTGAATATTCAGTGAAGTACAAGGGTAGTAAATTCTGGTTGTGAAGTGTGATATTTATGCTTTAATTCTCTTTGGTAAATTTGTATCTGCAGTAAATTAAAATCAAGGCCACTGAAATAGCAAAGAGCACTTATGGAAAATGGGCATATTCCAGCATAATGTGAATTTTGTTTTCTTTCATTTCATACAAGGTATAATTAATGCGGTAGTAGTGCTTTAAAGAAAAGTAGGCATCATTATTTTTGTCGTCTTGGATATTGTTTATGTAAAGTTATGTTTTACAGGCAACTCACATATCTGCATTGCCCATGGAAATAATTCTATACATCCTACGTTGGGTGGTGTCATCAGATTTGGACCTGAGGTCGCTGGAAATGTGTTCCTATGTTTGTCGTGGATTCTACTTATGTAGTCGAGATCCTGAAATATGGAGGCTGTCTTGTGCACGGTAAATTATTGGGAACCAATTTTCAACATTACTCTTACTGTAACTAACATTATAATCGCCCCCATTGCCACCTTCTTTCTATACCACAGCATTCTCTCCAGGCAAATGTAGGAATAATATGTTGAAATAAATCACAACCACTTCCTCAGGCCTTACTGTTTCAGTGTACATCATCATGTGGTGTCATATGATAGCAAATAACCTCTGCAGTTGATATAGCATTGTCAAGCATATGAACCAACTGACCATCTTAATGGTAAACATCAGTTGCAGTTGTTGTTGTGGTGTTGGTTGACATATATGAAGAACTGTTTCATACTTTGGTATAATTTAACCAAATAAATTATGGGGAGCCTGAAAGATACCTCCCATGGATCTGCCATTGCCAAATGTATATAAGG